TTCTGATTATTACATTAGAGTTTTGTCATTATAACAGATAGTCTTCTGATTATTACATTAGAGTTTTGTCATTATAACAGATAGTCTTCTGATTATTACATTACGGTTTTGTCATTATAACAGATACAGTCTTCTGATTATTACAATAGAGTTTTGTCATTATAACAGATACAGTATTCTGATTATTACATTACGGTTTTGTCATTATAACAGATACAGTCTTCTGATTATTACATTACGGTTTTGTCATTATAACGGGATTCTTGTGTCATGTTACTAATGTATTAGTGTAGTCAGGAATGATGTGGGATTCATGTTTCATGTTACTGGCATATTAGTGTAGTCAGGAATGATGTGGGATTCTTGTTTCATGTTACTGGCATATCAGTGTAGTCAGGAACGATGTGGGATTCTTGTTTCATGTTACTAGTGTATCAGTGTAGTCAGGAACAATGTGGGATTCTTGTTTCATGTTACTGGCATATCAGTGTAGTCAGGAACGATGTGGGATTCTTGTTTCATGTTACTGGCATATCAGCGTAGTATTAAACTTGTAGTTTCATCTTTTATTACTTGTAATAACTTTAACTTTACTTCTGATAAATGGAAAAAATCTAAAATTTACAGCATGTTCTATAAATTAAGTGAAGTACATACAATGTGTGTGAATGTTCGTATATAATTACCAAAGAACAAAAAATCATGTTGGAGAAACTTTTATATAAGAACATTTGATTGTACTGGTGGTTTGAACTTTTCAAATTTTACCAATAACTCTTGGGTCTCTTCCCTGAATACTAGTTGATAAAAATACAGTTTGAAAAGCTTTTACAAGTATTGTACAGAACCTTTCTTTTGTAGCGCCACCTGTCAAATGAAGAGTTTCAGCAGATATTTCACATGTCTCGCCTCCAATTCTATCGTATGCCAGAATGGCGAAGAAATTATCTGAAGCGGCGGGCCAAGCTGTTCTAAATGAATTCCTACACCTTTATAAGCTTTCCAGCTGTCAGTCAATTACGATAACATTTTAAGGCAAAGCACACTTACTTTGTTAATACAATATTTTATGCGTAGGAGTTTTGTCCAGACCTTTTAATTAGAAAGTTTTTGTTTGTTAAATATGCAATTTTATTTTTGGGTATATATATATAAGGGACAATTATGAATTTTATGATTTTGGTGAGATTAATTTTTTTCATCACGTGCAAGAATCACATTTTTGTTATCATGTCATTCCTTAACTTTTAATTTTTTAAATAATTTTTTGTGGGGTTGTAGCAGATTCAGAAATATGAAAAGTTGTACGCAAATGTAGGTGTTATTTTTTTTTTTTCTTTTGGTGCATGCATGTGTATAGTTCTATGCATTCTGTATCATTTGTGTTAGGGTGCTCTTGATAATCACGAGTTGAGGATGATTTTACTATTAATTTTTTGCAACATTTACTACAGTAAACCCTCAGTAAAATTTTACAGGATTATCGTTTTGAGTGAATTCAGAAAAAACAAATGATCGAAATGGACAATGTTAAAAGTTACCGGATGTTTTGGTATTATGTACTGTTCATGATTATGATGTACAAATAATAAATAATTCATAATAGTCACCTGCTCAAAATATTTTTTTCAGGGGGTTTGGATTCAGTTAATAGAATTTTGTTTCTTTGAACTGTTGAATATAATGCAGCTATTATCTTATTACTGGATATAATTATTTGTTTGTATTGCATGTAAGTTTAGTTATTTTTATGAATTATGAAAATGATTAATTTTGAGAATCTTTCTTGTGAGGGAGCCACAGTAAATTGTACATATTATTAATTCAAAGAAGGAAGACTTATTACACCTAACTTCAGCTCGGTTATTTTTTTTTAAATGAATTATGGGTGAATTTCAAGAACATTTCTGGTTGGACAGTGATGATGAAGTGTAAATATTGATTTTTTTTAAAGTATGACAAAGTTAAAGGCTTATCACATGTTCAGACAGCTTTTTTGGGCCAATTTTAAGTTGTAA